CCTACGTGAATGGCAGGTTCTGGCGATTTCTGCAAGCCCCGCAGCTCAAGAAACCATTTTGGTGGTTTTTTGATCCCTCCTTGTAACTCTTTCTGCCGAGGGTCGTATAAGTGTCTGCACATGCTTTGTAATCTGCAGAGCGTGTGTTATTATCTCTCTTTATCTCTCTCTCTCTCTCTCTCTCTCTCTCTCTCTCTCTCTCTCTCTTTCTCTCTCTATCTCTCTCTTGCTCGCCCTCTCTCCCTCTCTCTCTCTATCTCTCCTCCTGTTCCCTCCCCTCCCCACTCTCCCGTTGCCTGCCCCTTCTCCCGTTATCTCCCTCCCCCCTCTCTATATATATCCCTTCCTTCCCGCCCACAGAGGACAACCGAGGACTGCAACTACGTCAGCATTCGGCGCAAGGGGGGTGGGCCTCATCGACCCTCTCCTCTTCATCCTCCCCCCCCTCATTCTCCTGCTCCTCCTGCTACTGCTCCTGCTCCTGCTCCTGCTCCTGCTCCTGCTCCTGCTCCTCCTCCTCCTCCTCCTACTCCTACTCCTACTCCTACTCCTACTCCTACTCCTACTTCTCCTCCGCATCCTCCTCCTCGTCATTCTCTTCCTCCTCCTCCTCCTCCTGCTACTGCTTCTGCTGCTGCTCCCCCTCCTCCTCCTCCTCCTCCTCCTCCTCCTCCTCCTCCTCCTCCTCCTCCCCCTCCGCCTCACCCTTCTCAGGGCCCCTCTCCTCGTCGAGGCCTCCCTCGATCACGTCATTGCCCCCTCGGGGCCTCGGCCCCCCTGGCAAAAATGGCTGTCCTCAAACTGTTCTTCGACGCCCACTCTTTGTACTCAGCCTCGTCTAGTTCCCAGTCGCTGGCCTTGGATTGGCCGATCTCTAGGAATGCTTTCTCGCAGGCGCCCTGGTCGATAGCAAAGTTGGGGCACGCGCGCTGCAGGGCCATGATCATCTCATGGTGCTCGTGGATGACTGCGACGCAGTCGGGGCCGAACCTGTCGTTCCCTCGATCGAGGTTCGAGAGCGCGCCTGCGTTAGTGCGCCTCGATCTCGAGGCGCACGAACACAGGGGCGTTCTCGGCCCTGGGCCTGGGTTGCTGCCGTACTGCAGCCAGTGCCTTTTCTTGATGAAGGGCACCAGTGCGTCCTTCAGGGCGGACGCATCCCTGGCGGGATCGGGGGGGGGCACTCGATCGCGGGACGAAGGCTGGAGGAGGAGAAGGAGGGGGCCGAGGGGAGAGGAGGAGAGAGGGGGAAGCAGAGGAGGAGGAGGAGGAGAAGAAGGAGGAGGTTCAAGAGGAGAAGAAGAAGGAAGAGGAGGAGGGGGAACAGGAGGAGAAGGAGGAGGAGGAGGCCTGCAGCGCTGCCGCTCTGCGGCGGCCATCCTCGCCCCCCTCGGCGCGAGCGCCGCCCTCGGCGGCGAAAGCCGCCCCCCTCGGCGGCGAGCGCCGCGCCCCGCCCCGTGCCCCGAGCTCGGGGGCTTCGGCGGGCGCCGCCGTCGTGCCGCAGTCGCCGTCGACGTCGCCGCCGTCGCTGCTGCTGCTGCCGCCGACGTCGCCGCCGTCGCCGTCGTCTGCGCCGTCGTTGCCATCGGCGACGCCACCGCCGTGCGCCGCCGTTGCCGTGGTGGTGGTGGTGGCGGTGGTGGTGGTTGGTTTGGTGCCGTTGTGTGCTGCAGCTGGCGTGGTGCAGCCTCGCTTTTGGCAGTGGTTGATCGTTGCATCGTTGGTGTTTGGCTGTTGGTTGTCGGCTGTCGGTTGTTATGATGTGTTGTTTGTTGTGCTGGTGTTGGTTGTTGGTTGTTGGTGGTTTGGTGGTTGGTGGTTGGTGGTTGTTGGTTGTTGGTTCTGGTGGTTGTTGGTGGTTGGTGGTTGGTTTGTTGGTTGTTGGCTGTGATATATATATATATATATATATATGTATATACATGTATATATATATGCAAATGTACGTGTGAATACGTGGTATGAATATATATGGTGTGTATCTACGTGTTTATACATGTATATGTATGCATATGCTTGTATGCATAACCATGTACAATGTATGTAAATAGCGCATTGGGCTGGGCATTTGTCATATACATAGCACATCCTCCGGCCTAATGTTACACGTTCCAGATGCTCCGGCCTAATGCATAGCGCGTAAGATTCCTCCGGTCTAGGTTAGCAAGTCTAGGACCTCTGGGAAGGTGAACCCATCGCATCAGTTGGGAAATGGTGTGATGAGCAAAGCTTGCAAAAAACATTCATTATGATCAGGGCATTGGTCTCCAACCCCACCCTCCACGAAAAAGGCAACTTATTAGGCTGGGCTGCCCCGTAGGCTTGACAACTGATTTTAATCATGAGATTTGCGTTTGTTCTGGCCTGTTCGGTGCCGCGCTGCGAAATCGACGATGCACGAGAAATTCCGGCGGCCTGTGAAATTGTTCGGCGAGGGCGACGGCATTGCACAATGACGGGCGTTCTCGTTGCAGCAAATGCCTTTTTTTCCGGGGGTGCCATTGCCATCGCGGAACGCCCGCTAAAAAGGTGGGACATAGGGTGGGTGGTATCGTGACATCACCAAACATAGGGGGGGCCCACGCCCAAATCAGCGAAACTAAATTCTTAAGACCGGCAGCAACCGTTTCAGAAAAAACGCACAGCAATTTGACACAAAAAAAAAGTTTTCAGAAAAACGGCAAGCCGTTGCAGAAAAAAGGCTGAGCAATTTCAGAAACAACAGGCGCGTTTTTTTTTTTTTTTTTTTTTTTTTTTTTTTTTTTTTTTTTTTCTTCCCCCGCCGCGAGCTCCTCGGGAGTGCACGCTCGAAAACCGAACGTGGGTGAAACCCGGCGAGTAGGAGGACGCAGCAAAGCAGCGTCAAAGGAGGAAGAAGAGGAGGAGGAGGAACAGGAAGGGGACTGCCCGGGAGGCAGTCAGGCTCGCGATCACAAGACCTCCAAGTCGTTGAGGTTGGATGGCTCCAAGTGCGTAGGGGGAAGGTCCGTGTAAGTATGGTGGCACATGTCTGCTACTGGCCTTTGCACGGCCATCCCCAACATCCCCCACCACCGATGCAACAATCCCAAAGCCGTACCCCGTCGTATAGCGCCGGGTAAATCTCGACAACGTTCCCGCGCCAATGCAGGGACTAGCGATACGCATTGTCGTCCCCATCTGCCATGTACTTCGACACCCAAGCATTGCAGTGAACCAAGTCCGGAGGATATCACGTCGGCATACGTAATGTTATTGTCTTGTTCCGCATTGTCTAAAAGCCGGCCTGCTTGGTCGCTTGTTCCCCCCCTGGGCGCTCCAGTACCACTGATTGGTGACACCACGGTTACGTCGCAAAAGAGAGGCAGTCCGCGTTCCACACGCAGTCCCGGCACCACCAAATCCAATCGTCGCAAATCGTTGGATGAAGTAGGGATGTGGGTATTTGCCATCGGGCGTTCCACGTGCGCGCGATTTCAGAAAAATGCCCCACCCCCGATTTGTTGCCTGGCCCCCGGGCCTCGGCCTGACCTTGGACCGCGGGCTTTTGCACCCGGGCCCCCGCCTTTTTTTTGTTGTTTGTTTTTTTTTTCTTCTGAAACGGTCGTTGCTGCATGGCCGTGCTTTGCTTCGGGAAAAGCGCGGAGGAGCCTGGAGGAGGCGGGAGGACGACGGGGGAGTGGAGCGGGCGTGAGTGAGATTGGGAGGGTTGGATTCGGGAAAAGCGCGGAAGGAGTTCGCCTCCTCCGGCTCCGACTCCGGCTCCGGATTTTCGTCCGGCTCCGATTCCGATTCGATCTTCCTCCGCTTCCGACTCCGATTCCGACTCCGATTCCGACTCCCGTTCCGGCTCCGATTCCGACTCCGACTCCGGCTCTTCCTCCGCTTCCGACTTCGATTCCGACTCCCGTTCTGGCTTCCTCCGGCTCCTTTTCCTGCTCTGGGTTTTCGTCCGGCCCCGACTACGATTCCTGGTCGTCTTCCTCTTCCGACTCCGGATATCTTTTGCCACTGCGCGCGTGCGCAACCGAAGTGGAAGCAACAATACGAGGGAATATATATATATATATATATATATATATATATATATATATATATAATCCCTAGCGGCTACACGCTTACCCAGAGCTCAACTTAGGAGCGTGGTCGGTCGGAATGGCGGTAGCCATCCAGAACATTCACAACTTCATTTCACTCGCACGGACGCCCGATCGCACGGGCGCTAAGTTCTGTGGCACTCCAGTCGGGATACGTAAATTCAACAGAACAAAATCAGTTGACAAAGGCCGAGATCGAGAGACTCCACTCCCCTGACGATGAAATCAAAGAAAGAAAGTCTGCACGCATCGGCACCGACTGCGTCTGGAAAAGAAAAGGTGGGAGGATGGGGATGGACGCGGTGCGCTTAAGCATGTATGCCACGGGCGATGCAAGCGTTCAATCGGGACGCTCCTCGCCTCTCTGGAAAACACATGTCACAGACAAAAATTATCCCTAGCGGCTACACGCTTACCCAGAGCTCAACTTAGGAGCGTGGTCGGTCGGAGTGGCGGTAGCCATCCAGAACATTCACAACTTCATTTCACTCGCACGGACGCCCGATCGCACGGGCGCTAAGTTCTGTAGCACTCCAGTCAGGATACGTAAATTCAACAGAACAAAATCAGTTGACAAAGGCCGAGATCGAGAGACTCCACTCCCATATCTGCCCATAAGGCATCTGGCGAAGCAGGCTTCAGCATTTCCTGAGAGCCCGAAGGAGCTTGACAGGAAACTCTCTCCGCAACCGAAGCTTTTCCTTGCTGCTCAGGCGACATCTTATGCACTTGCCGAAGGATTTTGCCGTGCTTCGAATATCTCACCACACTCTGAGCATGGGCCCACTGGCCCCGTTTCTGGATCTGGTCAAGAGTCGCTAGGCCCATATACATGTCATGCGAAGCACCGGCATGCCGAACTCCGCGAGGAGAGATGCCCAGATCGGTGAGGCCCAGATCAAACGCGGCTTGACGAAAGAGGGCCTCATACTTGGAGAGAGTCAGATCGAACATGTAGGGAGCTGCACTGCCCACGCGGTACCAAAGGCCTACCGCCTCCGCCACCCAGGATCGTTGCAGCTCTCCGATCACCACTGTCCCATCCACGACCCCAGTCTTGGTGGGCGCTGCGTGCTCGGCCTCGCCCAGGAGCAGCGCCCAGGCCCGCGCGTAGCGCCGGCCAGCCCGGGGAGCAGGCGGCAGCACCGAGGACAGGAGGAGCGACGCGGCTTCGTCCGGCCTCAGGTAGCAGTCGAACTGCTGAGCCAGGCACACGGCGGCGTGGGTCAGGCCTTTGTCCAGGAAGTAGAGGCCGATCAGGCAGACGACGCCGAAGGGGATGGGATCTCGGACTCGCTGGGGAGCCCGAGTGGTCCACCCTCGAAGCGCCCTCGCCGCCTTCGGGAAGAGGTTGGCTTTGTTCCGATCCAGGTGCGTCTCGAAGTGAATATAGCCGTAGAGAACGTTGCGGCCCTCGGCGGGACCAGACCCCTCGAAGTACAGGTCAGTGAAATACTGCTCCATCGCCGAGTCCGTGGAGCTGAAGCTACCCAGATCGTAGTGCCTCGACTTCGCCCAGCCTTTGAACCTGCCGAGCGCGTCTGAGTAGAGCCGCTTCGTGGAGTCACGGATGGTCCCGAGCCGCAGAAAGTCATCGCGCGCCGCAGGCGGGACCCGCGCCCTGCGCGCCACCGCCAGCCGCTCCTTCTCCTCGCCGACAGCCGCACGGCCCTGCTGCCGCTGCGGCGGCCTCAGGGCCGCCTTGATGACCCCGCGCGCCGCCGAACTCGACGGCGTGGCGCGCGAGGAAGTGCTGCCCGCGGCTCTCGGCGTCAGTCCCGCCGTGAGCCTCGCCGAGTTTCGCTGCAGCACCATGCGACCGCGGCACCAGCGCCTCCAGCTCCGTGTCCCGCTCGGAGGCGAGCGGCTCGGAGTCGCCGAAGGCCTGAGGAGGCGCCGCCGAGCATAGCGCGGCAGCCCACTCTCGGCAGAGGGCGGGCGAGTAGGCTCCAGCCTTGAGCCCGCCCTGCAGAGGCTCATGACGGTGTGACCCATCACATCTTCTCCCCAGGATGTCCAGACAGATGGCGTTGGTGAAGATGGTGGTCGGTTTGCGAACATTTTCTCCGAATCCACAAAGATCGAACGAGACGTATCGGGCGTCTGACAGACTGGCAAGGACAGCAAGGGGCTCGAAGCGAAACAACTTCGAGCTGGCAGGATTCTCCAGCGACCACAGTACGCCACAGCGGTCACACTCTTTGATGACCCCAGCTGTGAAGAGCGCCATGTCGACAGAAACTGCCTCCAACCGCCGCGCCCGCTCGATGTTTACAAGGCGTGGAGCGGGCGACTGACCAGGCGGAGCACGCTGTCCCCAGATGTGCGTACCAGAGCTTCCCACTCCGAATCCAACGCAGCACAGCTCGCGGCGTCGTTCGACGTGACAAATCATATCGGGCGGAGCGCCTGATCTCGGCGCCTGGCAGGACTCGCAGCCCCAAGCGCCTGAGAGAAGCGGTGAGTCGGCCTGAGCCTGAGAAGAGCTCGAGCGAGGCCTGGATCGCCTGGGGCGTGCCATGATGTCGAGGCGCGCCCAGGCGGCGGCCTCCCATCCGCTGAGAGGCCGCGGGCGCCCCACCCTCAAGTCTCGTGGGTACCAGTACTCGCGGTACTCGGGGACGACGGGAGCCCTCGTCCGCGTGGTTCCTGTCCGTGCGGATGTGGCGAACCCGCCATGCCACACAGCCGGCAATCTGGTAGGCCGCGGCGCGGCGGCGCAGCGCATTGAGCGCCCAGCTCGACGAGCGGCCGCGGTCGAACACCACGGCGGACACGAGGTTGTCCGACAGGGTGAGCAGCCGGCGGTGGCAGCCCCGTCTGGTCCGCAAGCTACGTCGGATACCCATGAGACAGACCCTAGCCTCCTTGACGTTGATGTGTTCCTGCTTCCAGTGCCAGAAGCCCTCCACCAGCGTACGCCAGCGCCGCCTATTGTCCCAGCAGGCGCCGACCACGGGGATGGCCTCGAAGCCTTCCACCTCCTCACGCGGCGCGGCCCCTCGGGCCGAGCGCCGCCGTCTGCGTCGCTTGGGATCGGCCCCGACCTCGGCAGTGTGGGCAGCCTCGACGGCCCACTGCGCCAGGCGGGTCCGGGCCCCCAGCGGCTCCCAGGCGGTCCTCCCCACGACGTGGGGCTCACCGAACGCCTCCAGCTGCTCGGGATCGTCGCCGTCGAAACAAACCCCGAAAGCCGCACCCGACGCCCCCGAGGTCGGGTGTGGCGGCGGAGGCAGCGGCGGCGCGGCCTTGAACCTCCAGCGCTCCCTCCACTTGAAGTCCTCCAACAGCTCGTCGCCTGTGCCCTTCGTCTCCATGAGAGCGTAGCCGTAGCCCGACGAGTCGCCGAGGTAGACCGACGAGTTGAACGGCGCGTCCAGCTCCACCTCGCAGGTGAAGACCAGGTTGGACATGAGCCAGAGCTCGCGCCGTACGCCTCGCCACAGGCGGCCTGGCCTCTCCTTGTGAGCCGCGACGCAGGCGTAGCTCTGTGACAGGATCGACAGAAGGGGTCGGCAGAGGCCGCGCATTTGAACGGCGTGGCCCAGCCAGATCTCGAGCTGCCATCCTGCCACCACACGGCGGCGAAGCAGAGCCGCAGTTGCCAGCTTGAAGCGCCAAAGGCGGGCGGACCGATGCCGCAGGCGGCGGCCTGGCCCGTCGAACTGCAGCCCGAGAGCCTCGAGATAGGGACTGCAGGGGACCTCGTCGTGGAGGTCGAGGCCGAAGGCGGCACGCTGCGCGCGGAAGTCCTGGTGGGCCTGCTCCGCGTCCGTGGCGCTATGCCCCAGCCCTGTGTGGTTGTCCACGTACACGGCGTGGGCGGGCCGACCAGGGACCAGGCGGGGGGCCGGGGCGCGCTCTCGGAGCAAGCTGCCCCACCCGTCGGCAGCCACAGCCGCCGCGCGGGAGGCCACCGCCTCGTTGCAGAAGTAGAGGGCCCACGACCATCCCATGGGCATGGCCCCCATGCAGAGGTAGAAGGACTCGTGCTTGGCCAGCTCCACGTCCACGCCCAGCTCGGGGTCGAACACCCTGGTGATGCCAAAACTCCCCTTGCTGAACGACTCGTCGATCCCGAACCAGTCGGCCACCTCGACGATGCTGAACTGGTAGAAGCCGTCGCGCACGTCGGCGCCACTCTGGTGAAAGTCCAGGGCCGGGACGCCCCCAGCACCAGGCAGAACGCAATGAGACGCCATCTCCGCCGCCACGTCCGCGAACTCGGCCAGGTTGAGCTCCGCGAAGGACTGCGCGGTCCCCAGCTGCGTGGTGGGCGGCGGCTTGTGGCAGGCATTCGGGTAGCGGGCGTCCACGATGAGGCGAATGGCCTCCTCCTTCTTCTTGACAAAAAAGAGTCCGATGCGGCCCTTGAGACGCCTCCTAGGCACCAGGATGCCCGAAGAGAGGAGACGCTCGAACAGCTCGTGCCGGGCTCGCTTGTTGCGCCGCAGCACGGGGTCCCAGTAGGGCTTGGGCGAGGGCTCGGAGGCGAACTTGGCCTCGATCTCCTCGGCGGACAGCTCGATGCACGTCTTATAGCGTCGGGGCCTCTGAGCTGCATGAGGTGGTAGCAGCGCTCTCGCATCCTTGGGTTCCACCACTCCCTTGGCCACTCGCAGCTTGGCTGGATCATAACTGGCAAGGTGACGTGGCTCTTGACCGTGCAGGTCCTTCGTCTTGAAGAGCTCCCGGAGGGCTCTGCTCGGAGAGAGTCCGTCGGGGACCAGGCCTGCACGCCCCACCCGATCCTCGAGACTCGCCAACATCTCCCGCTGGACTGCTGCAGGAGTCGAGCTCGCCAGCGGAGACCGTCGAAAGTGCGAATTGTTAGCTTGAGCGGCCGCCAGTTGGTTGACACCAAGTACTGTATCTCTAACAAGCCTTTGCCGCGTCGTGGAGCGCCACCACCTCTGCTGCACATAGTGAGGGGCCCCACGAGGATACTGCCGAACATCAGGCACAGGAAGAGGAAAGGGCCCTCCGTGCCTCCACTCCCCGCCAGGCCACCAGTCGGCCTTGGTGACCTGCGGGCCGTCGGGCGCCATTTAACTCGGCAGAGGGGCCTCGGCTCCTTGGCCGCCAGCCCCCCTGCCTTTGCCCTTCGCATCGCCGCCCTTTGGCCCCTTCGGGCCGCGCCTCCTCTCCCTCTCGTTCCTGGTCTCCTCCTTGTACAACCTCGACTGCTTGAGGATGTTCGCCCTCTCCTTCTGACGATCAGACACCCAGGTGCGGAACCTTGGCGCTCGTGCAGCACCGTCGGTCCCCACAGCGCCGTCAGCGATGACCCCGAGCCCACTGAAGTCGGGATCCCTGGGGTCGCGCGCCGCCGCCATCTCCAGCATGACGACCCGCCTCGCGAGGAGCTCGAACGAGGCCAGGTTGCTGATGTCCACCTGGTCGGTGCTGGTGGCCACGCGCAGCATCTCCATGGCATTCTTGTGCTCATAGGCGATGGCGCTGTTCTGGTCGACCCCCGACAACCTGATCCACTCGGCGTGATAGGAAGTCGGGTTCCCTGCGCCTTCTCGGATCGAGGCCGCCAGCTCTTTGCACACTCGCGGCCCCTCGAACCTCCACTCAGGCATGTCGCTCTCGCGCAGCATGCCGACGGCGTCCGTCCACCCGAGGTGACGTGTGCCGTCTGCTGCAGTGTGGACGCCCAAGCTCCTGATGTCCTCGGCGCCGACTCGACGCTGCTCGGACCATTCTCCCAGTCGGGCACGACCCACCTTCTCGACCCCACGAGCGGTACCCTCACGGCGCGCCAGCCCGCGATTGCCCAGCTCCACGAACTCGTCCCCCTCGAGGACATCGGCGGCGACGAGCGTCCCGAACGCTGGGTCCTCGAGGTCAGCATAGACCCACTCCTCAGCGTCCATGGCCTCGTCCTCGTCGCCGCCGAGCACGGCCGCCTGAAGTTGGGCACGTCTCTTGTGCCCTGCGACCGCCTCTCGTCCGATCGGGTCGAAGGCGTAGAGGTCCCCAGCGATGGCATCAGGAAAGGCCTGCCCTCGCTCGAGCACCCGATGCCGTCGCTCGTCCAGATTGATCCTCTCGAGGTCGAGATCTGGAGTGAGCGTGATCCACACAGCGTCTCGAACTCGTCGCAACAGGATACGATGATGCCAAGTGAAATTAGGATCATCATCGAAGCGCACGGCGACCTGGAACTCAGGAATGTCCGGGCACCGCGGCACTGCAGCCATGCCTCGATGAAGGTGTCACTGGCCCCGTCGTCGGACCTGATGTCAGCGCCAGTGCTGTCGGCGCCGCTGCCGAGGCGGCCGGCTCTGGGGCCGCGGCGGCCCGTGGCGCCGCTGAGGGCGCCGAAGCCGCTCCGCCTGGAGCGCGTCGTAGGCGAGGCGACACGGCCAGGCCGACGGCCACACCAGCCGCGAAAACCACCAGCAGCGGCCAGGCCGGCGCAGCGGCCGGCGGCTCGGGCGCCCGAGCCTCGCAAGGCACTGCCGCCTGGCCTGGCGCGCCGCACGACAGGGAGCCGCACTCCACGTGCGGGCAGATCAGCGACGGGCACGGAGGGCAAGATTGCAGGCTGCTGCTGAGATGCAGGGAGAGGTGAGAGAGCTCTCGGAGGACCCCGCCGAGCTGAAGCAGGTCCATATGCGCTTGAGCATGTATGCCACGGGCGATGCAAGCATTCAATCGGGACGCTCCTCGCCTCTCTGGAAAACACATGTCACAGACATATATATATATATATATATATACATGTGTATGTATGTATGTATGTATGTATATATATATATATATATATATATATATATATATATATATCACCGAAAATGACAAATATCTGCCGGGGTGTATCTGCAATAGACAGACATATGAATGCCCATGTGTCCAAAGAAACGCGCATCGCGGTGATCGTGAAGATTTACGTACGGATGTGTAATTGTGGATATAAATGGAAAAGGGTGTATCGGTAAACTATCCCCGTGAAGCTCCAAATGCTGCGGACGTAGGAGGCAGTAGGAGGTAAAACATGTAAAGAAAGGCGGGGCGTAAGGGGAGGCCGGAAGAAGCAAGAAGTGGTAAGAAAGCACACGGGGAAGCATCAAGAGCGCTGGAACCGATTATTTGGACTTCGTATGTGAAAACTGTTGCTCCTTAAACTACCTCTTCGTATTTCTTCCTATGTCTGTGTACGCCCTTCTATTACGTCTTGCGGGGCTGGTTCTCACATCAGCAGTGGCGGAAATTAGACATTACCAAAAATGTGTTTTGATTTTCAGACAGACAAGCAGACGTTTCCCATTTGCGGCTGGCCTCCGACTATCTGGTCCGTGTGAGATTGCGAGCGGCACCGAAATGTTGTTGAACCCGCGTTGGTAATCGCATGTTGTCCGGAACGGTTTCCGGTAATATAACCGGACCCGGCAATATTCCATGAAGCAATAATCCCAGGTTGGTAGTGCGACGTATTCTGTCCGGAACGGTTTCCGGTAAGATAACCAAGCCCCGCATTATTTCCACGACGCTCAACAAATCTTCAATTCGAATGCCGCAGCCGTGCATTTAACAAAAAACGGCCGGGGAAACGAAACGCCCGGCAAGACTTTTAAAATTATTGATTATGGTTCCAATGGTTTCCGAATCCGATTCGGGTTCCAACGCAATTTTTTTCTTTTCCCTCGCCGCAGCGCCCACGCACATTCCAGCAAGCGGGGCTGATTTTGGAAGCCTTTTGGCGCCTCTGGGCGGCGTTTTGGCGCCTCCTGGGATGTGTTGGGCCGGAAGCTCGGAATTCGAGAGTGGCTTTCTCCTTCTGGGACCCCTCTCGAAGTCGTCTTGGGGTTCTCTTGGGCCGTCTTGGGGCCGTCCTGAGCCACTCGTGCGCAGCCTTGGAGCGCTCCCGGAGGCCTCCTAGGCCGTCTTGGAGGCCTCTTGGGCCGTCTTGGACGCGGTGAAAGCCCAAGATGCGAACATGCGAAAAATATACGTTTTCCCATAGGAATGGCACGATTTTTGTTTCTTGGACCTCTCTTGGGGTGCCTCTCGGAACGTCTTGGGGTGCTTTTGGGAGCCTTTTGGCGCCTCTTGGCGGCATTTTGGCGCCTCCTGGAGCCTCTTGGGCCGGAAGCTCGGAATTCGAGGTTGGCTTTCTCCGTCTGGGACCCCTCTCGAACTCGTCTTGGGGCTCTCTTGGGCCGTCTTGGGGCCGTCCTGAGCCACTCGTGCGCAGCCTTGGAGCGCTCCCGGAGGCCTCCTAGGCCGTCTTGGAGGCCTCTTGGGCCGTCTTGGACGCGGTGAAAGCCCAAGATGCGAACATGCGAAAAATATACGTTTTCCCATAGGAATGGCACGATTTTTGCTTCTTGGGCCTCTCTTGGGCTGCCTCTCGGAGCGTCTTGGAGGCTTCTGGGACCTTCTTGGTGTCATGACAGGCGTCTTGGAAGGCATCTGGAGCCATCGGAGCGCGTTCCGAAGCCGCCTGCGAACGATCTTGGACGGCGTCCGGCGGTCCGACGAGCCTCCGGGCCCCCCGGGGCCCACATTTGCGGTCGAGGTCCCGGCCCCGGGCCCCCGGACCCGGTGCGCCGTTATATGTATACTCCTGCTTTCGTCTCGTATTGGCTTTCTGAAGGTGGCGCCTCATCGGGCTGTCTTAGGTTATATCTGGCTTTCTTGGCATACTCAATGTTCTGCCCTCCACCATTTGTGTGTGAGGCGCCCTTGCGGGCGTGACTTGTTTTTTTTCAAGCTGCCCTAGACAAAGAACACCATAGGAGACCACAGGCCAATGCAATGCGCTCGAATTTTCGACATGAGGGCAACGGTCCGTTTCAGTTTGCCTTGGAACGTCGATTCAGGACTGCGGCCGCTTGGCCGTTTCGCGCGCAAGTTGTCAAATATAAAAGGGTGATGTGTCTGGATCCTCCAATTGGCAATCTCGGTTTTCTTATGTCTTGTCGTATTTCCGCTGGCTGACTCTCTGGTCATACGCTCCTTCTTTTTGCTAGGGGCGAGAAGGGAAGGAAGGGGGGGAAGGAGAGAAGTCGGAGGCGCAGGAGGAGGAGGAGTACGGAGGAGGGGAGGATGGATGGAGGGAGGGCGGGGAGGAGGAGGAGTAAGGGGGAGGGGAGGGAGGAGGCAGCGGCGGGCGGATCGTCGGTCGTCGTCGTCGTCTTCGTCGTCGTCATGATAGTGGTCGTCCTCGTAGTCGTTGTCGTCTTGGTCGTCGTGCTTCTCGTCGTCGTTGTTGTCGCCCTCGGCATCGCCGCTGTCGTCATCGCCCTCGTCATCGTCATTGTGTCGTCGTCGCGCGTTGACTCGACTGTAGAGCAGAGTAACACGTACAAATGATTTCCGCACTCTGCGTTGCCGCTCTACGAGTAGCATGGAAACATGTGCTCCGCCCCCTGCGTTACCAGATGTCGAGTAGAATTTACTCTTTGTTCTTCGCCGTTCCCAAATTGCCACGCGTTGAGCAGAGCAAACTTTCTCATTTGTTCACGCCTTCTGCGACGTCACGCGACGAATACGATCGGCGATCGAGGACACCCGAAGAATCCAATCAAACCCGTGGCGTCTGCGGCGTTCTTACGCGATATGCTGACACGTGGGTGTTACTTCTGTGTTGGGAGGGCGGGTGCGAGTGAGCAAGACGGCTTGCGGGCGTGTGGGTAGCTTGACCCCTCCCCATACCCTGGACCTGAACGGTTCGTGGGTAGTTAAAGCGTCCAAGATGGCCCAAGACGGCTTCAAGAGCGCCTCGGAGAGCCCAAGATGATCTCCAAAATGGCTCAAGATAGCCCAATATCTCAAGATGGCTCCCACAATGCTCCAAGAGGCACCAAGACGGCTCCAAGAGGCCTCCAAGACCTCCAGGGAGGCACCCAAGAAGCCCAAATCCTTCAAACATCAGTGATTTGTGCATTGTCGTCCGTTCGCGTTCGATGGCCTTCCGAAGCCTCAAGATGGCTCCAAGATGGCCCAAGAGGACCCCAAGACAAGCCCAAGAGAGCCCCAAGACGACTCCCACAGCGCCCAAGAGCGCTCCAAGAGCGCACGGAGAGACGATTTTTGGGGCTCCCGAGGAGGGGGGGGGGCGAGTTGGAGCTTCCCTCTTTTTTGATCGATGTCATCCAATATTGCCCCAAGAGGGCCCCAAGAGGCGCCCCAAGAAGCCTCCAAGAGGCTCCCAAGAGATCCCCTAGAGGCCTCAAGAGGACCCCCGAGACATCCAAGACGCTTCAAGACTGTCCTGGACCCACCAAGATACTACCCAGACGCTTCAAGAGGCCTCCAGAAAGCTTCCAGGAGACATCCGAGGCAACTCCGAGAGTCATTCAAGAGGCTTACGGCTCTTCTGTTCGCTTTCTTCCTCTTCCTCATCAACCTATTCTTCCTCCTCTCTCTCCTCCCTCCTCCCCCTCCCCCTCCTCCTCCTCCTGCTCCTTCTCCTCCTTCTGGTCGTCCTCGTCCTCGCCCTGCTCCATTTCCTACTCCTCATTCTCCTTCTCCTCCTCTTCTTCTTCTTCCTCCTCCTCCTCCTCCAACGACGACTATTCCTCCTCCATCCTCTTTCTCTTGGGGAATATGACGGCTGCCCCGCCCTTCGTTCTTCTGCATGCTCCTCCACTTCCCTGATCACCTCAACTCCCCTGGGCATTGTTTCTGCATGGGCTGGTGGGGGAGCACGAAGTGGCAACAATTTTATGACATGTCGACGGGTTCGTGGGGATTTGCATTACCGTCAAGCCCAGAAATGGAAGGGCGGAGTGGGGTACGGAGGGGGGGCTTCGGGCGGAAAGGTCCAACGTGTCCAAAAGGAGGGGGGGTAACTCGTCGTCGCCGTCGTCGCCGTCGCCGTCGTCGTCACGTCATCCTCGCTGTCGTCGCCCGCAGGCGGAGAAGAATGTTAGTTGTTTTCCATCGCTTTATCTCCACGCTGCCATTGGCGTGTCGACCTGAATGCTGGTTGTTTTGCCCCCCCCTGGCGTTGCCACGTGGCGAGTGCAACAACATAGTGTGTTTCTTCGCTTCCGTACGATGTCACGTGGCGACGGTTCTGTAAAGTATTTTCCGAAGCGTTGCCGCGTGACGAGCACGGTAGGTAGAACTTGTTTTGCTTTCGGCGGCGCTATGCGACGAGTATAGTCCACGGTCGAAAGCTTTCGACCGACTTCATACATGCTCTGTCGGATGCCTGAGGATTCATTGGGAACCTCGGGCGCGGGAGCGGATGGTCGCGCGGACAGGCGGGGCGGGCGGTCGCGCTAGCGACTTGTCGCGCAGGGGCGCAGTTCGCGGCGGCTGTGTGGGTCGCGGCGTCGCCGAGAGAAGAATGCCGCTTGCTTGCCGCGGAAAACGGGAAGAAAATTGTCAGCTGCAGGCAAGCAGGCAAGAAGAACAATCTGCCAGCTGCGAGCTGAAGCCACGCGGCTCGACGACCCCATGCGGAGGTCGCTGCGCACCAGAAGGATCGGCCACCGTCCTCCCCCGTCCTCTTCTCTCGAACTTCAACCTGATCTTCCCCCTTCCTCGCACCTCTCCTCGGACCACTCTCCCCCTCCCTCCTAAATCGAAATGATCCCGTCTGCGCCTTCCCCCCCCTGCACCTCCCTGCTCCTCCGCTCTCCCTCATCCCCACCCTCGTCCGCGCCCTCACCCTCTGCCCTCATCCCGCTACATCTTTCGACCTCCTTAACCCCCTCGTCGTCGTAATCGCCGCCGTCGACGTCGCCGTCGCCGTCGTCGACGTCCCGCCCTCGTCCTCGTCCCGGCCCTCTCCAAATCCCCCCCCCCCCTTGGGCTTGTCCTGGGGGCGTCCCGAACAAGAATGCCATGACGCCTGCGGTCATCGCTCCGTTCTCTGCTCGCTGGTCATCCCTCCTCGTTCCGCCGTCGTGCACCTCGGCGAAGGGTGGCTTCGTGCGCCACCCGGGCCCGCCCCCGTGCGTGCGAAAATGGAAAACGCCCCATACGACGCTCGACGAATACCTTCGTTTCTTCCTATTCACCTGTTCCTCCTTCTCTTCCTCCTCCTCCTCCTCTTCCTCTTCCTCCTCCACTCCTTTTATTTATGAATAGCTCCTTCGTGTCGCAACCAAAGGCCAATGGGAAGGACAGGCCGGGCGTTTCTCCAGAAACGTCCTTACCACTTATGATCCAGGAGGTTAAGAAATCGCAGCCGTTTCGCAAATGGGCGGCGGGCCGTTTCTAAAATGTGGCTCTCAAGTGAGCACCGCGCACATTCGTTTTACAAGCTTGCAAACGCTTCGCGGATTGAGGGCGTGTCGTGTTAAACATTTGGCTCTCGACTTAGCGCCGCGCGCACTCGTTTTCACCATGTGCAAGAGTTTTACGGATAGAGGGCAGCTATTTTACATCAAAATGTGGCTCCCGCATCAGCGCTACGCACATTCGTCGTGAACGTTGGAGAATTTGCACGGATTGAAGGCGGTTCCTCCTCTAAATGTGGCCTTCGCCTTACCGCCGCGCGCGTTCGTCTTCAACGAAAATTGAATTTGTCTCACTGACTCCCATGGCTAACGTACAAGAAAAGGCGTTTCGGAACGATGCAGGGCTGTCAGGGCGCAACAAGTACCGGTGTTGAAGTCCCAGGAAAGGTGGTCTAGCACGATTTCAGACCGTCATGGCGCAACAGCAGCGATGAACCGCTGCTCGAACTTCGGAGGCCGGCGCCAAGGGCAGAGGAGCACGTTGTAATCCTTGCACCAGGGCGCTTCGGAATTCGACCCGTCGGTCTCCGCGACGACGGCAAAACAACAGTCACACGTGCGCTCCACGAAGGACGGGATTATGAAGACGTCGATGGCCTGGAACACGTGGACGACGGCGCACATCTCCAGATGGTCCCCCCTCGCAGCAAGGAGGCTGGACGCCGCCACCGTGAAAAACACGTTGCTGACGCCATCGCCATCGCAGGAGGCTGTCTCGCAGTCAGCGTCCACGACGGTGCCACCATCTGGACGTAAAGGCGTCGTAAACACTTCGGCATCGTGTTAAGGATGAACGGCGGGCGCCCTATGCAACAAATGGCTCAAGGAACGAGAGCGATTCGTTTTCAACATGTAAGTCTCGCTGTGTGACCGCGCGTACTCGCCCAAAAAAACGCAACGGTGTCAAGGATTCGCGTCGTCGAAACCAGGATAGTCAGGACGCAGCAGTTTGTAATATCTTCGCAGTTCCGCATTGCCAGGAAGTCGCAGTCAACTTGATTCGCTGTGTCGAAGTCCCTGTGATGGTGCTCTGACGCGGTGTACGAACGTCAGGGCGCATCAGTCACGCTGCCCTGGGCCGCTGACGTCCCAGGAACGGTGTTGTGGCAAGGCTCGGGATCTTCGGGCGGTTGCTGTCTAATACCCCCCTGCCCGCGGTGGAGATAAATTATGCGAGGGAACTATCAGGAGCAATTCTCGGGTGAGCTGTAACATCGTTGATGCGTCTTGGGACGGCACTGGTCATCCACATCCTCTTCATTTCCCACCCCTCGTCCACCCCCCCTGCTCCTGCTCCACCCCGTCTCCTTATACATTACTCCTCCCTGTCGTCTCCCCCCCCTCTGGTTTGCAACCTGTTCAAAGATGGACAGTGGCTCTCGCCCCAATGCCCGCACTCGCCTTAACAATTTGCACCAGCTTCAAAGACCCGCGAGGTTGAAACCACAGGACAAGGTTGCCAGAACACAACAATCTCGTTGACTCGCGGTGTTGAAGTCCCAGGAATGGTGATCTGGGGCAGTTCAGGATTGTCGCGGTGCAACAACCCCATTGGGTCGCGGCGTTGAGATCCCAAGAACTGTGTTTTGGCACGAGGAGGGATTATGAAACGGTTGTCTTCCTATGGGGCGCCCCCCGGACTGAGGTCAGTTCTTGACCTGTGAATGAAGGAATTGGAGGGGGGGGTTACTGCAACATCGTTGATGCGTCTTGGGTTGCCAGCGGTAGCTCTCGTCCCCCTCCTGCTCCACCCTGCTTCCTTGTAAGTCGCTCCTCCCTGCGCCCCCCCCCCCAAGAACGTGTCCGTCGGGCGGGCCAGGCGTGTCGCCCCAGGCGTCTTCGCCATGCATGATCCCAGAGCCTGAACCGTGCAACGGTTCAAAGATTGGCGGGCGGGTCCTTTTCAACATGTGGTTCTCGCCTGTAATGCCGCGCACATTCGCCTCAAAATACTTACCACAATTAACGGGTGGAAGACGGGTGATTTTCACCATGTGGTTTTCGTGCTAGCGCCGCGCACGCCCGTCTTAACAATTAGCCGTCTCGCTTCACGGATGGAGGGCTGGTCCTTGTGAGAATGGTGCTGTCGCCCCAGCGCCGCGCACATTCGATCTACAACTTTGCAGCAATTTCAAAGATGGAGGGCGGCTCCTTCTCAAAATGTTGCTCTCGCTTCAGCGCCGCGCACATTCGTCTTGAACATTGTATGGCGCATTCAAAGGTTCGTATGGTCTGAGTCCCAGGAACGGTGTTTCGGCACGGTTTAGGATTGACAGGACGCATCAGACACGTTGATTTACAGTGCTGCAGTCCTGGGAATGGTGTTCTGGCGCGATTAAGGATTGCCAAGACGCAGCAGGCACGTTGATCCGTAGCTTTGAAATCCCAACGCCGGTGCTTTGGCGCGATTGAAGGCACTCAGACAATCATCCTCCAATAGGGCCCTTCCCGCAAACAAAAAACCTTAGGATCCAATGGGACTGGAACGTCAAGGAAGAATTGCAGCATCGTTGATGCGTCTTGGGGTTGTGCTGGTCCTACTCCCCCTCCGCCTCCCCCTCGCCTCCCCTCCCCTCCTTTTTTCCCTCCCTCCCCCCCCTCACTCTCTTTTTCTTCCTCCTCCTCTTCTCCCCCTCCTCCTCCTTACTCTTTCCTCCTCCCTCCCCTCCTCCCTCCTGTATCCTCCTCGTCCTCCCTCCTCCCCCTCCTCCTCCTTCCCCCTCCCCTCTCCCCCTCCTCCTCCTCCTCCTCCTCCTCCTCCTTTTCCTCGTTTTCCTTGTTTTCCTCCTTTTCCTCCTCGTCCTCGTCCTCGTCCTCGTCCTCGTCCTCCTCTTCCCATTCCTCCTCCTCATCCTCTCCGCCGCTGGAACGCGGCCGCGGCACGCCGCCCTCCCCCCCCCATGGGCGGGGGGGGGGCTCAACCCTGGATGCGTTTGCTGTCGCGGATACCCAAATGCGTCCTCTGCTCGGGCGGCCGCCGCGCGAGTCGGGCGGGCGGCCACGAGCCCCCGCCCGCTGAAGAGGAGGAGGAGGAGGAGGCGGAGGAGAAGGAGGATGAGGAGGGGGGAGGAGGAAGAAAAAGAGGAGAACGAGGGAGAGGGAGGATGAGGAGGACGATGAGGAGGATGGGACGGAGGAGGAGGGAGAGGAGGCGGAGGAGGAGGAGGCGAAGGAGGAGGAGAAGGAGGAGGAAGTGGATGATGATGATGATGATGATGATGATGCTGATGATGATGATGATGATGATGAGGAGGAGGAGGAGGAGGAGGGGCGGGGGCCACCGAACGGAGGAGGGCCACCGAACGGCCGCGGCCGCGCTCAGGGGAAGAGGAGGAGGAGGAGGAGGAGGAGGAGGAGGAGGAGGAGGAGGAAGAGGAGGAGGAGGAGGAGGAAACGGAGGAGGAGGAGGAGGAAACGGAGGCTCTGGAGACTCTGGATTACGACGAGGTGTGCCGAGAACGATGCACCAAGCCACAAAAAGAACCTCAGACACGCCGAACACAGCGATCAACACAAGCGAAGAATGGAACAGGTCTGTAGAAACCACAACCAACCTTCTCTCCAGAGGGCCCTTTCCCTTGGATGAGGTACCTCCTCTTGAAATGCCTCGGAGAACCCAAGGGCGGCCTACCTAAACACGGCTTAGAAATGAGAAAAGCCCGCGAGACACACCTAGCAGCACATTCTGAACACCAGATCATTGGGCCAGTACGCCAGAGCTTATGGGACGGGTGCGCTTCTCTGACCCCTTTCGGGTCACCACCACACGGGAGCCCCGCAAGGTCACACCGCCGAGCACGGCTATCTCCGCACCTTCCGCACACCCATCGTCCCCTAAACCTATGAATGACATGTCCTCCATCTTCAGAGAGGACCACAAAGGAACTGCGATCTACTCTGCTGCTCTCATTCACCTGTGCATCACTCCATCCTCCTTTCTGACACAGCCGCAAGATGCGCAGCACACATCTCAAGGTGAGCGGGACAGCGGCCTCCCGTAGCTTCCTGACCTTCTCACTGGGCCTCTCGCGTTGGTGGCCGTCCGCCCCCATTCTCGCATAGTAGTCAGCACTTCTGTTCCCGTTCCAGTACGTCATATTGATTCCTTGATCAATAGCTTTGCTCCTCGTCATGTGCGAGGGGATCCACTCGAATTCAATCTCGCCAACTCCGATGTCTTGTGCAACCCGCCAACAAGTCTTCCACAGTTCCATATAGTGATGCCCAGCCTGGCACCCGTATGGAAATCCCAACGTCCATGCTGTCTTGAGATCTTTGTAGTCAGTGACAATAGTGATGCGCCCTGCTGACTTGTGCTGCAAGGCCTTTGTTGCGGCCCAGATTTCACCAGCACCTGAGGTCTGCCAGGGGTGCGGTACAGGTCCCGAAGCCGCCGCCACAGTAGCACCAGCCTCATCAATCATGACAAGGGACCATCCAGCGCGTGCTCGAACTTCACAATGTGGAAACATACAGCTGCCATCAATGCACACCACACCACTGATGAGTCCACTAACAGTGCACTTGTGCCAGTTGATTATGTTGTCGCTGGTCGGCATCGGTGAGTTGAAGGTGGGGTCCTCCATCAAGCCTTTTGTCGTCATCATTGTGTGTGGATGTCGCTGCCCATGTTCTTTACGTCCCCATCGTAGCAAGGCGCGTTCTTCCCCTGTCCAACTGAAACGCTCTAGCGCATGCCAGTCACATCGAAAAATACGATGAGTATCCGTGCCAGCTTCCACCCCGCACTTTGCACACAAGGGGCTATGCACTGCTCGAAATTGATGCAGGCGCTCTTGGCATAAGAAACCTCCTGCCAACCAAGTGCGAACGAGCCCAGCACCTTGGAAATCCTGCTGTGCCCTGAGCTGAGTGATGAAGCGCTTGGCAGGTTCAAGCAAAGGCGGGCCAGTGAGCCCTTCCATACCTCTAGAATGTGGTATCTCACGAAGTAGGCGTCCTTGTGTACTTTGATTGACTATCTTCTTGAGCGTCGCAGGGCCTATGTCGTGTAAATCTAACTTCATCCCACGTTCGGTATGCCAACAATCCCACGCCGTTGCCTTCCATCCCAGTCGCTTGAGAGTGAGCACCACTGCGCCCGCTGGCCCTCGTACACTCCTCCATGTACCTCCGTTGTTCTGTGCTTGCATAAAGGCCAAGGCCATCGCGCGGTGCTTCACCCACTGTCCGTGCATCGCTCTGAGCCAATATACCACAGGATATTCATCCGCCGCAAAGGTAGGATCAGCTCGGGGACAGTGGGATAGTTGAAACTCCATGGTTCTGCACCTGCCACGCGCTGATCCAAACAGTGCATGACCAGCTATGCTCCTAACTTGTTTTAATTGTGTATCTGGCATCCCTTTGACCTTGACAATGTAGGTGACTGACGCCAAACCTCCTCCTCTGAATAGTCGTCCCATCTGTCGTCCACCCATAGCCAAACGTCTGTACCGACAAATTCTTCTAGATGTGGCGAGTACCCGAGCATGCTGTACTTCTCCTCCTGATCCTTGTCGTAAAGTCCGATCATGACCGAGCTGTCGCACTTTGCGATGCCTCCGAAATTTATGCTGCTTTAGCGCCGCCTCAATCTGCTTCTCCAACTGAGTGCTGGTCGCTATTACGTGTCCTTTGCTCGGGCTTAGCTCCAGTCCAAGCCCCGCCAACTCCTTACACAGCATGCGGGCAACTGGTATGATAATCTTGAGGACTTGGTCGTGCGTACCCGTAGCTTGCAAGCTCCCATCATCCACCACTTGCGTTATGCTGAGTGACGGCCACAACTTGTACACCTGTTCGTAAGCCCCTAAAGTGAATAGCATCATCATCGTAGTCGCGAAACCACATCCCGCAATGACACCGTGATTCGTCTTGACCGCCCCTGACACCATGTCGCCATACTTGATCATGCGCCCACCAGCGTACGATTTGAGTAGCAGCGCCAATCTTGACCTCTTGAAACCATGTCGGCAGCCAACGTCCCATAAAGTGGCATGGGGAATCTTTTCAAACGCTTTCTTGAGATCAAGCATGACAGTTGCTGTGTGCCTCTTGAGAGCAAGCCCAGCTTCTGCAAGAAGTGATTGCGACCATACCGCCTGCTCAGAACTACGCCCTGCAACAGCATAGTGGTAGTCCTTGACGTTCTTATTAAGCCATTCCTGCTGGTCCGTTTTGTGGCACTTGTTGTATACTCGAAGAAGGCCAGGTAGCAACCCAATGAGTCGATGTCCGCCCTCAGGCTTTGGGCGTCGGGGCATGATGTTGTAGGTGAGCTGCGGTGGCAACTCCCCTATGGTCTCGGCCTTGTGCATGAGCTCGGCGAAAGCTGTGAGCGCGTTGTCTGAGAGCAAGGCGACATTCCTGGGGCCTAGGTTGTCAATACCTGAAGCAGTGTTCACCTTAAATGTAGTGGCCACCTTCCTGATGCTCGCAGGATCTAACATCTTCACCTCCTCGTCATGTGTCTGTAATCGTAAACCTTCACCAAAACTTCGCTCTCCCTGTTGATATCTCCACACCTGCTTCCACTCTTCCAAGTCTGACTGTAAACGGAGCGCATGGGATCTCACACATTGCGTGGGGTGTATGTCAGCCTGTGTCCACATCGCGGGTAGCTTAGACCATCTGTGCGCCTGCTTACCGCCCTTCTCAATCACATCCGCAATCAACTTGCGCCACTGCTTCACACGGCTATTAGCAAGCTTTACCTCCAAGGTAGTAGCTTCCTTCGCCGCAGTCCAGCTAGCTTCTCGCAACCACTCATCCTCCCAACTGAACTCGTTATCATACCTGTAGCACCATATGTCCCAAGCCTCGCCCATGTCCAGCCTTTTGCTCTTGAGGTTCTGCATGGTGTTAAGCCTGTCTTGCATGAATTTGCAGTCTGTGGGCCAACTCCGCTTGCTTGCATGCATGAGATCAACCATGACCATTGAAGCACGCCTCCACTGTCTGGACCTTGGATCTCCTGGAGGTGAGTGTCCTGGCGCTTTGCGGACCGCAGCCACCATCTTGAATTCGGGCTCTGTGAACTGTGCCCGCCCCCTGCAAGCTCGTCCGTGTCGATCCTCTAGTTGAAATCGGCGAACGAGTTCTTGGTCAGCTAAAGCATGCCATTGAGAGAAACACCAATGTAGGTCCTCACGGTCTGTGGCATGTTCACATTCACGCTGAACTTGCTGATCTGATGGCGGCGGGGGCGCTGCTCCTAGCGGGCATACCTTGGGCAACTTCTTTGGAACCTTGAGCTGTTGTGCAAGAGCTGCACCTGGCCCCGCACGAAGCGGGAGCCGAACACCCCAGTGCGTCGCTATCGAGAGCCCCTCAATCCTGGCCACATCCATAATGAGTCCTTTGAAATGCTGGCTGACCACAAAGTAGTCGAGCACTCGTCCTTCTCCACATGCACATGTCCATTGCGTGGGAGCTGCTATCATCGCTGGTACCTGTGCAAGAATGTTAAGGTCGGTGAGCTCTTGAGGAGTCATATTCCAGTCCCCGCCTATGATGAAAGGCCTGCCTAGCCTCTGCAGCTGCTCCATCACCAGCATGATGATTCGCTTGTTCTCGTCTTCATAGTCACGCACCTTGTGCCCTGATATCAAGTATATGGACGCAAGAATGAACCCACCTGGCAGCATACCATCGACCCATTGCATAGCCCATCTCCACTGTGGTGCACAAACTCCCCCAAGGTCAGGCGGCACCGCTGACGCAATATCTTGTCTGACTCCAACCGCGACTCCAGAGCTGGCGGCATGTCCTTGACCTTTCTAAGCCGACGGTATATGGCAATTCCAACCTTGGTGCTGTAGACGCATCTGCGCGTCTCCGGTGTTACCTTTGAGAATCTTGTGCTCCTGAAGCAAAATGCCATCCGTGTTAGGAAACATCTCTGTGATCTCTGTGGCTACTAGCACCATCTTGACCGCTTCCTTCTGCGCCGCCGTGA